ATTTTGCTATAAAACATATTTTGTGAACTTTTTAAAAAGTCATTTCATATATAAAGCTCTAAAATTTGTGTTGTGTGTGTCCGTTTGAAACCCTGCTGAAACTTACTTAAAGTTGGTTGGTTTGACATGAGGTAGTGATAAACTGTGACTGTGTGATATCAGATAAAATGCGGTTTATTACCATTATTACGTATCTTTAATTTAAGCGTAGTTTAGATGTGGCATAAAGCCGAAGGGGCGGGGACGCAACCAGTGAGAATCGAACTCAATATTTAGTCGTAACGTAATTGATCTGGTGAGACAAGTTTGCTAACCACACACCATGTCGAAGTGCCCACAACACGTACATATAGGTATTTTTCAGCGGTCCCACGTCGCTGCCGAATGTGACATAAAGGTCGAGGTTTAGAGTAAGTTTGACGTCAATAACGTGGAAAAATTGCCCAAGCCCCCTCGGCACTTCTCCTTTTGGAGACGCCTCAGGCGTCGGGCAATAAACCCAGCTCCTCCTGAAGGGGAGGTACTGCCTAGGTCTTGGCTTATAAACACCCAGTCAAAGGCCGGGATTTCTTCCTTAAATAGCGATAACTAATTTAATTTGCATATTCAGCTTTTAAAAAAAAAAGTGAAATTTTCTTTTTTTTAAATAATTACTTTTGTTTGTTATTTATTTCCAATCTGGTGTTTTTGTGATCTCTTTATCAAATAGGCGATTGATTTTATTTTTACTGATGGCTTTTTTTTTAACTGTTTAGCTAGTCAAAGCCACTTTCAGTCCTGAAAGTTAGGATTAGGAATATCAGGTGCTCTAAACTTGGATGTGCGGGTGGTGTAATGGATAATGTTCGGAATTGTTAACCGAATTCCAATTCCAATTGGGGTTGTTATATTCAATTCACTTGAATGTAAATAAATACCTTTAGGAAAGGTATGAATCCACCTCTTCTCTCCCAGCTACGGGTTAATTAGTAAGACGAGTATCACTTATCTTTAAAAAAATTCTCAATCTAAAAATATTTTCTGGCTTTAAATAACCTGCAAATGGTTGATAAGCCGTAGAAAGCGACTCAAAATCCTGAAAGTTGTAAGTAATGGTATTTAAATCACAATTTGGGGGGGGGTCTAAATGTTCATAATTTGAATGTATGTTTTCAAAATATAACAAACAAACGTAAATATTAATTTGATATTTAGTTTTTTTGTTTGTCCATAAACATAGTTCACTTCACGATGATTACTTTTTTTTATTTAGTAATGGATTTTTTTTATTTATTTCACTTTTTTTAATTTAAAAAGCTAACATTTTTATCGTTAAAAAAAGAAACACGATACTTTTTTTCACTGGATTTCTTAACAATTTCTAAGAATTAAGCAGAGATATTGAATTGTTACGCTTTATTAATAATAATAATAATAATAATATCGTACAACAACAGTAACATTGTTGTAACGCCTCTAACCTCACCATCCTGCGTCCTTCAACGGGACTCAAACTCTCGACCATTCGATCATGATGATTATCGTGTGCTTATTGCATCATGACGCCTTTCGTTCCATAAAACAAACGACTACCAAAATGTTGAAACTAAACATCAAACTGATTTTACGCTCATTTTTATTTTATGCACGGTAAAGTAAAACACAAAGCTCTTTAACTTAAACGACTGCTTAGGTGTAAAAAAAGGGAAAAAACTTGGCCCTCGTATCATTAAGTTAAATATTTCGTTGGAAACAAATAAAACGCCCACGTAAAATGAAATAAACAAAAACTACACTTGTAAAACAGTACTGAATTGAGTGTAAAGACGTGTAGCGACATTGGAAAAAAAGTGTAACCTTTTTTAAGTTTTTCACATTCATTATTCTCACAATCAATTATTCTTCTTAATTCTTAAATAAAAATAAAGGAAAACTTTAATAATTTACAGCTAATGATTTTTATGAAATGTAACTTAACTTGTTTGTTTAAAACGAATGCGACTAAAACTTTCCCTTCTGGTTTTTAAAGGAGTTTCTTCTGTTTCTTGATTAGGGCTATTATTAACTTTAACGGCCCAAAATAATTTCTGATAATAATGAATTACCCCCCTTACATTCCCCTTTAGATTTCTTTGCCTCGCCTCATATTCTGAGTTTTGTTTTTTGATACATAGAATAAAACATACAATCTAGAGAAGATAAGCTTGTTTTTTTGTTGTTGTTGCTTTTTTTAACAAATTTTGAGATTTTATTTTTCATAAATGTTGAATTAGAATTAAAAGTTTTACTTTTTACTTGATAGAGAAAAAATAATTGGAATAAATAAATTATTTTGTATTTAATTTGGGATGCTACAAGAGGTTGCTGAAAAGTTCTCGGCCCAATCCACTTTCTTAAATCTGATCAAATGACCAAACTTCGTTTTTTTAAAATCACTTTTTGATTAAGTCAATAACTCCTTGTATTTTTCGATGTATAAAAAAATAATTCATGACTTTTCAGATCTAAAGCACAGGTAAAGAAACGTAGATTTTATTTAATTTTAAACTAACATTTGATTTCTCCACCACCCCCTATATAATAAAAGTAAAACTTAATCAATAAAAACCATTATCAGTATGATGAAGTCTTTTCGAAAGTCGAAACGCTTTTAAGTGCTTTTTTGACTATTTTGTCACATTTTTGTCATTCTGTTACTCATTAGCCTGAATTTGTATATCATTTCAAACAAATATCAGAGTTTGATATGTAAAGACTAAAGAGTGTTTCAGACATTAAAAATAAAAACCATCAAGAACCCTGAAAAGTCAAAACAAAATTGAATAACATACTATTTTTGATTTGAACTTAATTTTTGGTTCAGAAAATTATCGACGCATTTGTGAGTGAAATGAAAGAAATGATTCATTTTTGAAATCATGCTAGCAAAACTTTAAAAGCAAATATAAATTTAAAAACGCAAAGTTTATCATGTTTTTTCTTTTCTCTGTCTTTGAAAAACGTTTTTTTTTTTTTGTTTTTCAATCGTGACTTTTTTAAATCATTTTTTTTATAGTTTTCTATTGAAACAGTAAATTATAAATTTTTAAATCCCCAAAATAAAAGATAAATAAATTCACCATTTTTCAAAGGTAAACTTGGGGTATTCCACGCGTGTAGGTTTGAAACTTTTGAATTTTTTTTCAAGTGTCTACCTACACAACACAAACAGCTTTCCCTTTCTTTCTTTTTGTAATTTATAAACACAAAGAAACCCTGTTCATTTCGATCGTAGTAAATGAAACCCTAAATTAAATCCGAGATTTTTTTTCTTTTATTGATTTAGCTAATTTTCTTTCTTTCTTATTTACTATTCACAATCTCCTTCATTTTTACTTCTTCCGTATCTTTATGAATAAAAACAGAAAGCACTTGCTTGCTGATATCACGAATTAAACGCAGCAATAAGGCTGGGGGCGGCGACACTTTGTCGTCATAGTAGTGCTAATCTTATTACTGGTATTTAGTCTATATATCTTATTAGTAGCGAAGCTACTACTAAACCAAAACTTGTACCAATTAACTAAACTATAAGATCAATTTTTAATTTTAATTACTTACTCGTAACTAGCATTAGTAGAGTGGTAACAATGGAAAAAAAAAGAAAAAAATGCGTTGAATCAAACGTGGTGTATTTTTACTTTTTTTTTTTTTTATCCCGACGGATTAAATTGTAGGTTTATCATTGTAGTCATGGTGATGAGCTGATTATTGCTAGTAGTAGTAACGTAATATTTATTTTTTTATTTTATTTTTTGGGGGGAGGGAGGTTATCAGGTTTGGACCGATCCAAGTTAAGTGAGAGAAATGATGAGGAAACGATTGTCACGGCTGTGGTAGCTGATGTGACGTAGCCGTAGTGATGTTATTGTTTTAATTTACCACAGTCTGAAACAAAATTCTCATTTTTGAGGATTTTTTAGTGGTAAAGGTCTGGTATTCAAAGTCATATGGTAAACTTCGCAAATACAATTTTTACTTGGCAAGAGTCGATACGTCACCGATAGAAAAATTAAAAACTTATATTGATTTTCTCGATTCCTTACACAACACTGTAACGAATGGAGAAAATCATTGATATTGATAAGTTAATAACTTATTGATATTGATATGCTATTGATAAGTTATATTGATTATTGATTTTCGGTAACGAATCGAGAAAAGCAATATAAGTTTTAAATTTGCGTGTATGTGTAACGGTTACACACATAAACAAACACACACATGATGCTAAAAATGAAATGACTTATTGCATTTTTTTTATTTTTTTAAATTATTTTTCGCATAAGATTCAATATTTGTACACCTGCTGTGGACGTAAAACAATGTAAATAAATATGCAGTTTTAAAAGAATAAAAAGCAACGAGAAAAATCGTGTAATTTTCCAGATACAAAATAAAACTTTTTGAAAGAATTATAAATTAAGAAATAAACTCTAAACACTAAATAACACGAGCAAAAATATTATTTAAAGAAAATAACTGGAGAAGATACGACGAAGTAGTCAAACGTTAAAAAATATTAACCAGATTGTGTAAAAAAAATGTATCAATTTTAAAAACGATCTCTTTACGTTTTTTTTTTAATTGCACAGTTTTTCAGCAGCTAAAAAAATATCATGTATCTAAGTATATCTGCACTACAGTAATACGACACCACCTTTGTAAGTAATTATAGGTGAATGAAAGTGCAAAAAATAACGGCAACGCAGCTCCAAGCAAACAAGTAGTCTTTCCTCCAATTTCTGTAGCTACATGCTTTTCGCTGGAGGGAGAGCGTAGTAAAAACCATTTTTAGATGCACAACAATGGCAAAGTATTGGAAGCAATCTGGAACAAGAGAACATATTTACTGGAGGCAGAGATAAAGAAGGGAAATTAAATGAAAGGTCGGATACGGATAGCATTAAGATATCAAAAACATCATCAAGAAAAGAACAATTACAGGAAAATGAAAGTAAAAATAAATTTATTAAACTTACCACAAGAGAAGTCCCTCTTTACAGTTGCGCGTCATCTGATGTTGTCAGAAGAATGAAGGGCAGGCTTCAGCAGCAGCAGCTCTCTCTACTAAGGGAGGTAACTCTCATAGCAAGTTGAGATTAATTTTTGGTATTATCAGCTATCATATGATCGCGATCCATACGTTAAAAAGGAAAAAAGATGTTGGCAAAAGCGTTCATCGTCAGCATTGTCTCTGCTCTCTTTATCTCATCTTGGCTGAGTAGGACATGCAGTAGGAATCAAACTCACTATTGTACATTAGCGAATTGATCTGTAAGTTGAGCTTATTAACCATGACACTTAAAGCGTACATGTGTGTGTCCGTGTCTCCATACAAGAACAAAAAGAAACCTGGGCTTGTTTAGTGTTTTTAAGGTTGTATTCACACGAATACTTGAGTAGCCAGCAGGGTTATTGCGTACTACCGCCTAACCTTGCTATCTTATCAATATTTGCTTTTTTTTCTAACTATATTTATACACGTTAAAAATTAAGCTAAGCACATAGTTAGTGTTACTCACTGTTATTTAAAGGATGACAAATTTTCGCGGATTTTGACGTCATTCTGGGGTCTTTTTTGTTCAAACCCGTGAATTTGTTTTGTTCATGCTAAGTCTTAAAAAAAAACAAAAAAAAACAAAAACTATAAAATTCACTATTTTTTATCCATAATGTTGAATGTGTTAAAAAAAATTCTTCAATTTTATAACATGAAAAATCTCCTCGCAAGTTACCGCAAATGTAAAAAAACGTTGTTGATTTATCATTTTAATTTGTATTATTTATTGTCAGTTGTTCTAGTTGAATTATTTACCTATATTGCATATGGTCCATTATTGTACATAATTGTTACAATAAGATTTGTATTTTATATAAAAATTGAGATGTAGTTAGAGTGGGGAGGCCCCGTATTAGAGATTCGGTGGAGGTGTATCATAGATTCGGGTGGGAGCCCACGAGAACCTTGCACCGGTCCTGGTAGCCAGTATTCTGGATTATTTCAAGTGCTGATTTTCAGAGTTGGTAAGTTTTCCCTATTTGGAAGACTGACGCAACATAATCTTTTCATCCCAATTTCTCTCTGTCTGGTCTTCTGCTGGAAGAAAGTGAACTTCGTAAAACTTATCTTTATATAGTTTTGATTTGATACCAAATAAATGATGATTACCGTATCACGCGGTATATTTTTAATTTAGGCTTTAGTTTACACCCAAGTATGTCATTATCAGGCCTCTTATGTGGCAGTGAATGCTGGACAATATCCTTAAAAAAGAAGAGAAGACTTGAAGCAAAAGAGACGTGGTTCTACAGAAGGATATTGATGAACGGAACATGTGAGAAACGTGGGACGTTTTAGGGAAAATTGAAACAAAAGGTCCGCTTATACTGAGAAAAGAACAGTTGCAATTTCTCGGCCACATAATGAGGATACAAGGATTGGAAAATTTGACACCCACAGAATATGCTGAAGGCCAAAAGGAAAGAGCGAATAATCTACCCAACGAGTTTATGTAGATGGATGGCAAATCAGAGATGGAGAGGTATAGTAAAAAGATAATGCTAAGAGCTACAAAGGATAGGAAATCGTGGAGAGCCTTGATCGTCTATGATCTGAAGGAACACAGCATATAGAAGAAGATTGTTCAAATTTTTAAGTCTTCATTTAACATAATTTAGGGTTGAAAATTACTAATCCAATCCCTCATCACACCTTTACCCTTTTCAGCCTTGATCATTTATCTACTTTTGTGCGGGAAGATTTATTTTCCACTTTGCAACATTTTGTCCCCAAAGCCGCAAAGTCGCTCGCCTATCACTACTCTATCGCTGTTTTCAAATTCATTTTGCAAATGTTCAGAGTGATTCCATTATTTAGTTCCACCAGTTTCGACCTTTAAAGCTAGGACTCACCATGCTATGTCAACGGAGTCAAATAACTCGCATTTCCTACGTATTCCAATTGTAAGGAAAAAGTTCCACTAAGCTATATCCCAAGAATTGCTACTTTGTGGAACAGACTCCCGTGTAGATGCTTCCCTGAATACTACAAACCACGTCGACTCAAGGGTCAATAGTTATATATCTCCCCCATACTCATAATTTTCACCACCTCCTTTTACATTCATATCGCACATTTTATGCAATAAACATCTATCTTGAGTGGCTCTCGAGCTTTCTATTTAGTGAACTTTAGTACAAAAAAGAAAAAAAAAATAGTTGAAAATCTGTACCAGTAAGGGAACAGAGGCAAACATAAACCTTCGTACCTGCAAAAAAAAAAAAAAAACGGAGTGTCAAAAGGACGGTTTTTTCTCATGACACCGCTTTTATTTTAACTGCCTTCACCTTTTGGCAATGTTTATTGTTTAAAAAGCGGTGATTAGAATTGTAATAAAACCTAAACAGATGAAAGTGAATTTATACATTTTCTTTGTTCTTGAGAACTGACAACAAAAATAATAAACTCTATTTATTTATTAGATTGTTTATTTTCACTATTAGATTGTTTATTGGAATGGTTGGCAAAATATCGACTAATTGCCAATTGATTCAAACTTTATAAAATGGTAAATAATAAGGATTTACTTATAATAATTATAATTGGTTCACATATTTTAGTAATTTAGAAAATGTTTAAGTGTATGTATAAAAAATTGTTTTCACATTTATTTCTTTATAAATTGGTAAGTAATAAAGTCTTAATATAAATGTATTAGTTTTCGGAATGTTGCAAATAAAAATATTCTTGTAAATAAACAATCTCATAAATAAATAGTCTTTAATATTTTTTCTCAAGAACAAAAAATCTATAAATTCATTTTCATCATATGTTTAAGTTTTATTCCAATTCTAATCATCGCGTTTTAAAACAATAAACATTACCGAAGAGTGAAGGATGAAATGTAGTTAAATAATAGCGGCGTCATGAGAAAAACCGTCCTTTTAACACTCCTTTTTTTTTGCGGGCACGAGAGTCCATGTTTGCTTGAAGAAACATATGCAAATAGCTTCAAGTATACTTATGCAGTAAATATCTATCTTGAGTGGCTCTCGAGTCTTGAATTAGGTGCACCAGCAGGCGAACAGACATATACAAACTGCTTCAAGTATACCTTGTAAGGGAGTCCATCGATTCCCAAAGTCTTGTCCATCCAAACCTTCTTCAACGCTACTCAGATGTCCTTTTTCATGCGACCCTCGCTTCAGTGACATTGTGATGTGTAAAATCAGCTAAATAGGCGTGGAATGAGCTATTGCATAAAAAGAAAAAGGTTTTTTTTTTTTGGAATAGTCACGAAATTTCTCACAGGTGTCATCCTTTAATAACCAAACTTTGTTCACCCGACGACTTAACTGGCGATATTTCGAGACGCGCATTGGAATAGTAAAAGATACCTTTCTAAAACTAAGCAAAGTATTAAGAAACAGGAACATCTCATTATTAGAAACAAGGAAGAGGAGTGCTGAACTGCGATGTAATAGCAATCCTCCTGGATAGCAGCGAACGCTGAACAGTTTTCTCACAGATTAAAAGATTGGAGACAACAGAAATTGATTTCTATATAATGATACTGAGAATACCATGGAAGCGGAATGTAAGTAATTGGGAAGTTTTAAAGAAAATGGAAACAAAAGGACACTTGTATGCAGAATCACAAAGAGAGAGATGAAATTTCTTGGACACATAAAGAGGAAAAAGGGCTTGGAAAATTCGACACTCACTGAAAGCAAAAGGAATGGGGGAGCACAACGAGCCAACTACCCGACAAGCGTAATGGATGACAGAACGTGGAGTGGGATATATGATAAATCAACACACGTAATAATAAGAGCTACATGGTATGGGAGGTTATGAAGAACCATAATCGCACACGTCACATAGAAAGAGAAGCTTTCTTCTGTTCGTGTGGCTATAGTTGTGATATCGGCAGATATCTTTTTAAAATATAGATCTAACTACTAGAGTCTGGTTCTTCTTGTTAAGCTAGGAGACCTCATCTGTATTTACCCCAACTATTTCATATTTATCCCTCGATCTTTCAGACCACTCTGTAGATTCGAGTGCCTTCTGTGTCGATAATCTACCTATGTTGAGGCAAAATCTATATTTGGCAGCAAAAACCTGACTAGTTATATTCGGACTACTGTCCACATCTTTATTGTTGTTATCACAGTATTTCAGCCGATGTGCTCTCCGGCCTTCCTCACGTGTATATGGATCCGGATAATCTACAATATACAGGGTGTGATAGGTAAATTGTTGCCAATTTATATTTTTAATTTTGCGCATGTGCGTTGCTTGTTTTTGATTTTGTTGTCTTCTTAGTAGGGTCAGCTGGGCACCGTCTGTGAGAAAAAGAGCACCATGACGCAATTCACTCCACCAGAAATTTGGAAAGAGCACGTTGTACTGCTTGGCGTTTGCACCAGAAGCTCTAATACGAATATTTCAGTGTGTTTGGGTGTCAATATGAGGACAGTGCAGAGGATTAGGAAAGAGTTTCATGAGTCTAATGGTGATTACGAAGGTATGGCAGTACGGAAAACTCACTCTGATCGTTCTGATAAGAAAAGAACTCCTGAATTTGTCGGTGAGGGCCTCAGACTCAACACGGAGGTCTACATCAAGTGCCTTGAGGAAGTAGTGTTATTCTGGGTCAAGAGGGTGGTTGATGGAAGACCCTATGTCTGGCAACAGAATTCTGCAACATGCCACACATGCAGGAGAACCCAGTCATAGCTGTCAGGCAATTTATGCGACCATATCACCCCTTACATCTGGTCACCTAACTCTCCAGACTGCAACCCCCTTGATTATTATGTGTGGGGCGCAGTTGAAAGTGAGACTAACAAAACTCTTTGTAACACCAAAGATGAACTGAAAACAAGGATTATGGCAGCATTCACCAAGTTAAACAAGGAGACTGTCCAGAAGAGTTGCAGGAGATTCTGAAGTCGTCTGGAGAGCGTGGTTGAAGCTAATGGTGATTTTATGGAATAAATTTACTTTTT